CCCCGTGGCAGGCTTGTGGCACCTGTCCCCATGGCAGGCGGGTGGGATGTGTCACCCTATCCCCATGTCACCCTGCATGGGATGGCTCCGTAGGGCCACCCAACCCACAGCACCATGGAACACGGGGGGGGCCCACACCGGCTCCTTTCACCACTGGTGACTTTCAGTGTCGGGGGACAAACCCCTGGTGACACTCAGAGTGTGTGCGTGTGCGTGCCAGAGCGGGGGGGCATGGGGAGGGGTGCTATGCCCATGGTGGCATGGGGGTGTCCCCTCCATGGCCTCCCTCGCCCAGTGTCCCTGCCCGCCAGCAGGCTCCTTTGCCATGGAGGCAAGGGGTGACCAATAGTGTCCCCAAGCCCAGCCAGGGCCGAGGCGTGCGGTGGCCCCCAGCACAGTGTGACAACCCAGCTGGGTGCCTGCAACACCCGTGGGTGCCTTGGCTGCGGTGGCACCAGACAGGGGACGGCACCGCCCTGCCAGGGTGTTGGGAGGTGACAGCAGGACAGGGGGGTGGCTGGATGTCCCCAGGCTTGGCTTCAGTGGTGGCTCCTCGTGTGACATATCAGCCAGGTGCCCCATGGTGATGGGCTGGGGGACGTGGGGACCTGGGGCCACCATGGGCACGGGGGGTCTGGACCAAACCCCCCCCCATCTCTATCTCTGTCACCACAATGTCCCCACAGCTGTCGCACCCACAGTGCTGGGGTGGTCCCTACAGCGAGGGGACACCCCTGTTTCAGAGCAAGAAGCCACCGTTGTCACTGGGTTTGGGGACATTAATAGATATATAGATATATATATATATATATAAATATTGGGTTTTTTTCTTAATGATTTTAACGCTGTAAGGTCAAGCGGTGTCGCCATGGCCGCGCCAGGGAGAGCCTGTGGCCGGGACGGGGGGTGCACCCAGTGCTTCCAGAGCAAAAAGAGCAAAACACCCCCCCCCCCCCGACTCCCCCCAGCAGGCTGAGCCGATGGGCCCCATCCCGGCACGCGGCAGGGGACAAGCACACCGGGGCGGTGGCAGCCCCCCACCCTGCCAA